GGGGGGGGTTGTTTTGTTTTGTTTTGTTGTTTTTTTCTTGCTAATGGCAGTGGAAATAGCATGCAGCTTGTGCATACAGCAGCTATTTTCTCAGGATGCAAAATCCCTTTTCTAGGTACAACATCACAGGTCAACTCTGTGGCAAAGAATACTTAATACTTTTCATCTTCCCCATTTGAATTAATCATGACATCAAGGAAGAAATCTTAACAGATAGAGGAAGTGTAGTTGAGAGGTTAAGGGCTAAATGCTGTTTCACCTTTACATGCCTAGGTGATATTTACATAGCCAAAATTTACACTCATGTGGCTACATAAATTTTATTTAGCCATATAAAGGTGAAATAGGTTTTGACCCTCAGTAACTAGGATACAGCCAGAAAGGCTATCACCATCGGACCCAGGACTAAAACTCAGAAGTTTCTGGAGCCCAGTCCTCTGTTCACACTAGAATATTTCTATTTACCAGATTAAATTTTTATTCTCCTTTATGGAATTTATGTTGGCATTGGGTGTGTCTACAAGAGATGCTAACTGCACAGTAGCCTAATAACACTGCATTTGCGTGTCACATCACAGACAGTGCTAATATGCTACTGCGCAGTATTATTAGGCTACTGCACACTAGCGCACTAAAAAGGGATTTGCCAGCACTACTGTGCAGTAACTTTGCTTACTCCACATTTATGTAGTACTTATACAAGCACTAAATTAAATGCACGGTAACCATTGAGCATTAATGAATGTGTAGACGCAGCCACTGAAAACATGTACTAGAGTTTGTGATCTATATTGAAACCTGTTGCCCATGGGTGTAAAATATCTTTTTTTCTCAGACCTTGACATTTGGGTAAAAAAAATGGAGCTGGAAACCCTTTCCAGTTTTGTTTAATCAAAATGAGTCATGGCTCCCCTATTCTTGGCCAAAAATATACCAGACTCAGGCCTTGAAGAAGCACTCCTCACACTAACCTAACAGCTCCCGGAAAGACAAAGTCAACAGCCTTCTGCCATCCCAATACCCACTGGATCTTCACTTGTTATAAACTCTAAGTTTAGTATATTTGATAGTCTTGGGGCCTTCTGACTCTTAGTTCTACCATGTTTGCTCTAGTCCTTCAACTTTTAAACTATAAATGGGAGGAATAAAGGCACGGGACATACATTTGGCAAAAACCAAAGAGAACATAAGCAGAGGTGTATTGGATCAGACTACAGGCCCATTTATTTCAGTATCCTGTCTTCCACAGGAATAGAGTATGGATACTAAAGGAAAATAGTATTTATGTGGAGTCAATCCAGACCAATCTGCTCCCTGCTCTTCTTCCTTTACAGCTTACAGTATTCAAGGTCCTAAAATGCCCTAATTTGAAGTCTACATCCCTAACTGTAATGTTTATGTCCACTGATTGACTGGATAAGACTGGAGAAATGGTCTGCAATCAATCAGATGAGATTCAACAAGGTCAACTGCAAAGTCCTGTACTTGGGACAAAATAATTGCAGGCACAAATACAGACTAGACAATGACTGGCTGGGCTGCAACACTGCAGAAAAGGACCCAGGGATTACAGTGGATGATAAATTGAATATGAGCGAACAGCACGCTCTTGTTCCAAAAAAAGCCAACAGCATCCGGGGTTGTATTAACAAGAATTTCACTTGCAAATTGAGGGAAGTGATCCGCTCAATTCAGCACAACCTCAGCTTCACCAGTTTTGGGCTCCACTTTTCAAAAGGATGTGGACAGATTGGAATGAATCCAGTGCAGAGCAACAAAAATTATTAGGGGCCTCAGAACCAAGATTTAAAGAACTAGGATTATTTAGTCTAGAGAAGAGAAGACTGAGAGGGTATTTGATAACAGTTTTCAAAGGAGATGGAGATAGGTTTTTCCCCTAGGTGATAGGGGACAAGACTAGGAGCGATGGCTTCAAGGTGCAGCAGGGGAAATTTAGGTTGGAGATTAGAAGGAACTTTTTGACTGTGAGGGTGGTCAAGCACTGGTACAGGCTACCTGGAGGAGTTGTGGAATCTCCATCCTTGGAAGATTTCAAGAGCAAGCTGGACAGACACTTGGCTAAGATGGTTTAGTCAGGATGGTCCTGCTTTAAGCAGGGGGCCTAGATGACCTTTGAAGTCTTCTCCAGCTCTACTTTCCTATGACCTTATGCTCCCTAATCCTGTATGAATTTGTCTGATCCTCTTTTGAGCATAGTTAAATGAATCAACCTCTACAACACCTTGTGGCAAAAAGAGTTCCACAAGCTAATTACACCCTAGGTAAAAAAGAGCTTACAAATCTACCAGCTGTCACCAACATCCAACAAACAGAAAGCATAGGGGGACAAACACCCAATCTGAATGGACACCTCTGCCCTTCTGCCATTTTACAGTGAGGATTTTAATAAACTCTCAAGAGCTTGAAACCCATGCATACTTTTGCTGAACTTGAAACAGAAGAGAGGTGGATAGGCTGATTTAACTGGACCACATTTAAGGCAGAAGGCATATGTGTATCAACACATACATCTCCCTAGAAAATCAGCCATCTGTATATTTCAAATTTGTAAAACAACATCATTAGACAGTAGCATAACTGGGGTGGGAGGGAATGGGTTCAAAAATAGCTGCTGCTGCTGCTATAGAACAGCTGGCTATTCTGCCACCATTGGTGCAACAGGAGCCACACTACTCCATGCACTGAGGCTTCCCAGGGCACACAGCTTCCCTGTTACACCTCTGCAAGTAGGATTTAACACCAAGGTGCGAGGCTGCCATTTCTATGGTATCATACAATGTGCTACAGAAAAATGTCTTGATGGGCATCAACAAATAGGAGTATGAAGGGAAGTATTGTTATATCAACAGCTAGTGGTTTGGGACCTTTAGTAAACAGTAAGTGATGTCTTTGTTTTCACCATGGCTTGTTCAGGGTAAAACAACCATGTATTCCTCCTGTTTAAAATCAGCCTGTAGACACTCATAGAGTTACCGATATAAAATAAATTTTTCAAGTGGTTCAGGAAGTAGAAGTCTATGCACTGCATAAAGACACGATCGGCCCAGACATTTTCTGATACACAGCCGACACAGCTGGGCAAGGCTGGCAGGACCTGGAAAAGAAGAGAGAAAAAATAAACAAAAATAATCGGCAATACAAATTGAAACCAAGAACCTGAATACAGGTAAGGCCCTATAAATCAAAACATGCACCATCTCTTGCACACATCTTGCATAACTCCATAATAGCTGAATAGACTTTGTACTTGTGTTGTAGTTCTACATTTTGGAAGCTGTGAGTGCTATAAAGATGTTTATATTTGCACAATGTTTTCCTGTTTCTTTCCTTGAGAAAAACCTTAGAATCAGGAAAGCATGTGCACATATAAGATCTGCAACTCATTTTATCACATGCCTGGGTCCACTCAATAATAACATTCCTAGTATATAAAAATAATAAAAAAGTGGTAGGTACTCAGATACTATGGTATGTGGGAGACTAATTAGTAGGGTCAGTTTTTGCATGTACAATACATGTAACTGTATATTCAAACAGAAATGTGTGCGCCAAAATACCACTATCAACACATAATACCGTTTTTGTGCATACTCATATGCATCTCCTTGGTCACTGTGTCATAAAAGTCTCCCTCATTTCATCAAGCCCCAGATATAGAGCAATGGTTCTTTATTTTAAATTGTGACAGCTCATGCTCTTGGTTATGGAAGTCTATGGTTCAACAACTAAGGGCTAGTTGAGATGATAGCTGTTACAAATATTTTGAAAGAATTCTTTAGACAGCTAAGCATAAAAGTCTGATCCCAAATCTCCACATCTGCATCAGGGAAGTTTCACTAAAGATAAATTTAGGGGCCAAAATAGGCTGAAAAAGTCCGATTAAAATACATGAATTGGAAACAAACAGGTAAAATAGCCTATAGAGATAGAACTTGAGTTGAAGAGGGACATCATTCCTTGAAGCAAATAGAAAAGTAAGGGAAAATAAGCAAAATTTCCTGTTTCAAATTATCATTGCACAAACAGCTATAAAGGAAAATACATTAAAAGAAAATATACAAATAAATATACCAGAAACAAACTAAGCAGAAAGAAAAATCTTCAGAGGAAGTTTTTGTGGTGCTTGTATTTATATGGTCTGTAATCCTCTTTTTTAGTAGACTGACTAGGAAAAAATTCAGGTGAAGAAATAAATATAATGAAGCATTTGAAAGCAAGAGAGATGGAACATTTGAATTGTGAACAGGTCATGTGGAATTTATTCATCTCTGAAAAGTGAAGAGTCAACAAGAATAAATTAAACAGTCATATGATCCATCTGACTATAAAATGAACAGGCTGAACCAATGGAAATGGAAATCACAAGAATTTTTTGGGAAAAACTAATAGCAAAGAAAGATTTATGTACGCTGACGTAAATTGTGATGCAGTTAATGGAAAAAAATAAATCAAGAAGTAGGTTTGTGCCTATAAGACTTGTTTGTACATCCCCTTAAAGTGTAGTAGTGACCGTTCTTGATGTAAGTGCTAACAAACTCAGCTATTGGAACAACAGATACAGAAGGTGAGGGATGGAACAGTTTATGTAAAATTAGCATAAAGCAGGCATCATCACTTCACAGGGGGTGCGGGGTTTGAAAATGAAAAGCACTAAATGGAATATTAAAGACAAAATGACACTGCATGTGTAACACGTACAGACAGCTGAAACAAAATGTATTCATTAGTCCAGTGATTCTCAACCAAGGAAACTTGTGAGATCCTTTGAAGGGTGCTGTGTTAATGCACACAACATTGACATTGCTCAGTGTGCAAATATTTACACATGATATGTTCTCCCACAGCATTCTCACAGGCAAGCTATGGAAGTATGGGCTGGATAAATGGCCTGTAAGGTGGATAGAAAACTAGCTGGAGCATCAGGCTCAGAGGATACTAATCAGTAGCTCGAAGTCTGGTTGGCAGCCAGTATCAAGTGGAGTGCCCCAGGGGTCAGTCCTAGGGCTGTTTTTTTTCCCCAATATCTTCATTAGTGACCTGGAAGATGGCATAGAGAGCATCTTCAGCAAGTCTGCAAATGACACTAAGCTGGGGGAGTAATAGATATGTTGGAGGCTAGGGTTAAGATTCAGAGTGATATATTGGAGGCTTGGTCCAAAAGAAATCTTATGATGTTCAACAAGGACAAGTGGAAAGCCCTGCACTTAGGATGGAAGACTTGGAACTGACTGGCTAAGCAACAGCTCTGCAGAAATGAGTCTGGGGGTTACAGTGGACAAAAGTGGAATATGAAGCAACAGTGTGCCCTTGTTGTAAAGACGGCTAGTGGCATACTGGGCTGCATTGGTAGGAGTCTTGCCAGCAGGTCAAGTGAAGTGATTATTTCCCTCTATTCAGCACTGGTGAGGCCACATCTGGAGTAGGCCTTTGCGAAGTGGCTAGTATTCGCTTCACATTCGGCCAATTCGGGGGATAGTGATTTGATACGCTGATACGAATCACTGTCCCAAATTGATTAGGCTGAATCTGATTCAAAGATTCGGCTGCTGCTGAATAAGTAAATCTCTGAATTGCACAGGCCCCATCCCCACCTGCTCTCAATGGCTGCCCCATGTGCCCCAGCTCCTGGCTCTTTGACAAAAAAAAAAAATTAAAGCC